AGACTCTCCAGACTCCCTGTGCTGAGACCAGCTCTATGGGCTGCTGTCCACACTGTGCCCGCATGCACATTCTCCCTGCCTTGTCTGGCCTTCCCCATGTGCCTCTTGGCCACTAGCACTTCCTAGTGCTGCTTGTCCTGTGAAACTCAGAGCACCTATAACAGATTCCAGCAGTTTGTTACCTAGATTGTCCATTACTTTGTGTGTGTGTGTGTGTGTGTGTGTGTGTGTGTGTGTGTGTTGTGCATGTACGTATGTACTTGGGCTTGAACTCAGGACCTAGATGCTGTCCCCTAGCTTGTTTTCATTCAAGACTTGCATTCTGCCACTTGTGCCACAGCTCTATTTCTGCTTTTTGGTACTTAATTGGAGATAAAGAGTCTCATGGACTTTCCTGCCCGGGCTGACTTCAAACTGTGATCCTCCCATCTCAGCCTTCTGAGTAGCTAGGAGTATAGGCATGAGCCATCAGTGCTTGGCTAGAAATACATTTGAGTCACGAGACCTGTGGGCCCATTTAATTTCTGCTGCAGAACTTGGCAGTGGCCTTAGCTGTCGCAGAGGCAGATGCTGCCAAGCCAGATGAAGTCAGACTTGCCGGTTGCACTGGTGCGTGTACCTCTGATTGCTTACCTGTGGAAGGGCAGTGCTGGCGCTGCATCCCGAGGCTTTCTTCCATGTCTTATGGTGTGACCCTTGCCAAGGGAACGGTAGGCTTCTGGGATAATGCACATTGCAGCAGGGAGGGGATTTTCTTAATCATGCATCTTTCTTTTCTCCCAGGGTGTGTAATTTGAGACATCTGCAGTCATTGAGCTTGGAGCTCAATGATCGTTGACATTTTTCTTTTTTCTTTTTCTTGTTTGTGTGTGTGTGGTACTAACTTTTGAACTCAGTGAAGTGTTTTGTTGCCATTTGAATCCTTCACCTCAAGTCTTCAGCCCGGGACCTTTTTCTTGGTTTATATTCCTTGTGCACCCGGGAAGTCATAGGCATCAGGAGATCGCTTCTGCCCTCTGTGGTTTTGGTTTCCTCCCTTTGAATGTGCATCTGACCTTGTTCAGAATTAAAGTATCTAGAAAAGCACTCAGGCAGGGAGGAGATGCTCGTGGGTTTAGGAGCCCACACTGCTTGCGGGCATCTGAGTGCTCTCTGTCCCTTTATGGGGCAACAAGAGCTCATGGCCAGACATGATTCATGGTGCTTTTCAAGCCAAGCCAGAGAGATGATCCCCTGTTTATGGGCCCCATTGTCAAGGTAGGTGTCTTCCTCCTAAAAGTTCATGAGAGGGGCTGGGAAGGTGGCTTAGTGGTACAGTGCTTGCCTTGTATGCATGAGGCCCTGGGTTTGATTCCTCAGCACCACATAAGCAGAAAAAAGCCAGAAGTGGTGCTATGGCTCAAGTGGTAGAGCCCTAGCCTTGAGCTGAAGAGCTGAGGGACAGCGCCCAGACCCAGAGTTCAGGCCTCACAACTGACAAAACAAAAAAGTTCATGAGACCTGCCATGCCCACTAGAGTCTCAACAGGTGGCTGTAAGGCCCTGAGACTCTGTGACAGTAACAAGATTCGATAGATTAGCAACGATGTCTCAAAGGCCAAGTCAGTGAAACCATCCCAGAGCAACAGTCTGGGTTGTAGGAACCAGCACATCAACCCCGAGGATGGGGTGGATGGCACTGAGGTCTCAGTTTGGCCTGGATAGCATCTAGGGCACCCCTTACTGTCTGCAAGGTGGAAGCTGCTAAGAGGGGGCTCCCCCGTTCTGTCATATTGATGACTTGGTTGGCACTTCCAGTCACCCTGAATGTGATGGATGATGGTTCTCATGCTGGCAACCAGGTGATGTCCATGGTCCTGCTGTGGCATGGCCAGGTGCATGCAGCTGGAGAGGGGGTGCTGGAAAGTGCAGCGTGTCTGTGTGTGTGTGTGTGTGTGCGCATGTGCGTGTATGATGTGTAAAAGAGAGGGAGAGAGAGAGGAGTTGTGTGTGGGGACAGCTACTCGGCTAAGCTTGTCACTGGCACAGATGTGCCTATGTCTGCCTAGAATTGGGTGGACTACACTTTAACCTCCTATAGTCCCAGCAGGTACATTTTCCTTGGTCAGTAGGTGCCCTGTACAAATCCTTCATCATAGGCTGAAGTGTCCATCAAGAATCCTGTGGAAGCCAGGCACTGGTGGCTCATGCCTGTAATCCTAGCTACTATGAAGGCTGAGATCTGAGGATTGCGGTTCAAAGACAGCCCAGGCAGGAAAGTCTGTGAGACTCTTTTATCTCCAACTAAGTACCAAAAATTGGAAGTGGAGCTGTGGCTCAAGTGGTAGAACGCTATCCATGAGCAAAAATAGCTCAGGGACAGTGCTTAGGCCCTGAGTTCAAGCCCCAGGACCAGTACCAAAAAAAAAAAAAAAGTCCTGTTGAGAATATCCTTTTAGCAAGGGGTTGATCTTGGCGATCAATGCAAGCAGATTGCCAAGGCTGTAGAAGAGGACTTGGCACCTACTGCCTGTTAGAACCAGCAGGTTAGCTCTGACCTCCTCTATTTCTGAGTCAAAGCTGCTCCAGACCAATGCGAAGCCTTCAGGGGTTTACGTCACTCTGGAAAGAAGGCAGGTGCTTTCTTGGCCAACCCAGTGGGAGAGCTCTGCTCTGGACCCATCCAGACAGGTCCTTTTGGCAGTCAGAACTAGTCCCAGCCCAGCCAGCTCTTTAGTCAGAGCAGCTGCGCAGCATGGAGTTGAGAAATGCCTTAGTTGAGGAAGCTCAGGATCAATTAGGCCAGTTAGACCTCTGCCTCAGACACACAGACACACAGGACAGTAGACCAGTCCTTGGGTCCTTTGGGTAGGTAACTGTTTTTCCCTGCTCCTAGGTGTTACTCATTCCTTCGTTAAAACTTGTTGGAGCCAAGTCTGCAGTATAGAAACCCTAAGATAGAAATCTGGGACCACAAGAATAATTTTTCTCATTTCGCAGCAGGTGTTTATGGGGCCATTCATACCTACAGTGCCATCCCCAACACTGTCGATAGGCAAGATATCCAGGGGTTTAATATACCCACTAAAAACCTATTCAATATTTACCAAACGGAGAAAACAAAGACACAAAAAATCATCATGTTGGCCTAGGACAGTACATCTGGTTTTACTTATTTGAAAGTTCTGCAGAATCTTCTTGACTGAAGTTTTGGTCTTGAATTTTGCTGAGATTCTGAAGAGCTTTGAACAGCCCTGCTGGGGCTTACGCTTCTGCCAGCACGCTGGCTTCGAATGGGAAGTCTAGGGACCCCAACTCACATGAGGACTTCTTGCAGCTTTATGGAGGGGAGAATGAGACACCGGCATCCTCCTCACCCCCTGCCGCCATCGGGGATGGTGTCACACCGGGCTGGCATCTAGCCAGCTGCCAGGGGCACTTACTTTCTACATCTGTCAGTGACAGGGTGTTTAGAGGAAGCTGAGCTAGCTTTACCATTAAAAACCCCTTTCCCTAAAAGATCCACACTTACAGGCACTATATATATATATATATATACACACACACACACATATATATATACACACACACACTATATGTCTATATGTATATGTACGTATATCTATCTATATATATGTGCTATGTGTATGTATCTATATATTTGTGCTGGTCTGTGGCTTGAACTCAGTGCCCGGAGGCTGTCCCTGAGCTGCTTTTGCTCAAGATTAGTGCTCTATTACTTGCCACAGCTCTACTTCTAGCTTTTTGGTGGTAATTGGAGAAGAGTCCCACGGACTCTCTAGCCCAGGCTGGCTTTGGACTGTGGTCTATAGATTTTAGCCTCCTGCATAGTTAGTATTAGAGGCATGAGCCACCAGCACCTGGAAGTATTGTTTCATTTTAAAATTAGTGCCTCAAGTTCCCTTTGTTCCATTGTGTTTTTATTATCCAAACAAGAGTAAAGATAAAAAACAGAAGTATTTTTGGTTTCTCCATCTCATTTTTCATTTTTTTTTCTAATCCTAGTATATATATATAAATTCTATTTCCATTTTTCCCCCTTCGTGTTTTGAAATTCTGACTTAATCGTCTTTATTATTTGTCATGACTGTCTTTTGAAGTGATGGGCTATGTTTTTCTTATGGATTGGGGATTTCGGTTTACATGTCTATAAGATCATTATAAATTCTTTTCTTTCCATTTTCTTCCTTTCATGTGAGAAACTTCTAGGCATAGGCTGCTGGGTCAGTGGGGTTTGAAGTATGCCTGCAAAAAACCTGACCCTTTCAGTGGAGATAAGGCTCGATGGTAGAGTGCTTGGCCTAGCTTGACCATGCTACTCTCTATCAAGCCTTATCCCCAGCCCGCTTGCTGAGAGCTCTCTCCCTCCCTCCCTCCCTCCCTCCCTCCCTCCCTCCCTCCCTCCCTTCTTTCCTTCTTTCCTTCCTTCTTCCTTCCCTCCCCTCCCTCCTTCCCTCCCTCCCTTTTCCTTCCCTTCCCTTTTCTCTTTTCTTCTTTCTCTCTTTTTTCTTTCCCTCCCCCCCTTCCTGCCCTTCCTCCCTTCCTTTTGTGTCTGGGCTTCTTGCTCTTCCTTAACTTTTTTGCTCAAGGCTAGTGCTCTACCACTTGAACCATACCTCCACCTCTGGCATTTTGCTTGTTAACTGTAGATAAGAGTCTCACATTTTCCTCTCCCAGCTGATCTCAGCTTCCTGATTAGATAGGATTACAGGCATTACTCTGCTTTCTTTTTTTTTTTTTTTTGCTGACAGAGATAGACAAGAATGTTTGACCATCAAAATAACAGTGAAACCAGATGTTTTTCTTTTGTCATTTACAGTTTCCACAATGGTCTCATATGCAGTATCTCAGTTAGTGTTCTTAATCCTCAGTGAGCACTGGGGTAAGGATGCTCACTGTCTCCACTTCAGAAAATGAAATGGATTGGAGAGTTGAAGGCTATTGGTCTGGGTGTTCTAGGGGCCCATTCTGACCACTGGCTGCCTCTCTTTCTCTACCTAGTACTTTGGCAGCCCAAGGTCTGTCACCTCACGGTGTGACTTGAAGGCAAACCTCATCCGAAACGGCTGTGATGGTGAAATCGAGAGCCCGGCCAGTAGCACCCATATCCGGCGGAGCCTGCCACTCAGCAACAAAGGCTCCAGCACCATGGGCTCCGACGTCATCCAGATGATGCCACAGGAAGTTGCCCTAAACCTTCGGCCTGGTGAGTCTCCTGCGTCCTTCCCAGTGGGCTGGATGATGTGTGTTCAGGGATGTCCTCAGGGAGTGAACCATGTTAACATGGAAGTGAGCCAGATCAGGCTGAGGGATATCAGATCAGAGCCAGGAGATGCTATGGGAGACAAGGCTCAGACCGCAGGAAGCAGAGGATGAAGGGAATAGCTTTGTGTATATATATATATATTTTTTTTCTAGCAGTACTGGAGTTTGAATTCAGTGCCTCATGTTTGCCAAACATTGCTGTGCCAGTCGAGCCACACCTCCAGCCCTGTATTTCCGTTGGTTATTTTTTGAGAGAGGATCTTGCTCACCACCTAGGTAGAAACCTAAGCATGCCTACGCCACTTACTTTTCGGCTTTCCATCATTGCTGGGACGTCAGGCACACACCAGTGTCCAGCTTATCTCTGTGGAGATAGCCTCATGGCCTTTTCTGCCTGCGTTGTCCTGGCACTGTGATCCTGCCAGTCTCTGCTTTCCATGTATCCTGGGATGACAAGCCCATGCAACTGTGTGTAGTAGTCGGTGGAGAAGGGGTCTCAAACACTTTCCTACTTGAGCTGGCCACTAGCCACAAGCAATCCTTCAGATCTCAGCCTCCCAAGTAGTATGGCAGGTATGAGCTACCAGCCCCTACTTTTCCGTGCTATTTAAAAAAAAAATGTGGTGGGGTAATTTCCTGGCAGGTAAGAGACTTTGAGTTTAATCCTTAGCTCTGCTAAAATCAAGCCAAAACAAATAGCCACAACAACAGAAACTCAAAATTATGGTAGAAGATCTAAAACATAAAATTTAAAATATTCTAACCAGCTTAAGTGTCCAGTCCAGTTCACTGTGCTAAGTCATCTCTATTACCTACCTCCAGAACTTTCCCTTCATCTCATGCAGAACTCTAACCATTGGATCATAGCTCCTCTTTCCCTTAGAGTAGACGGTGGTAATACACGGAAACGAACCACTTTTGTACCCCTTCTATTTGTTGAATGCCTGTGGTTCCCAGGGAGCTAATCCTATTATGTACTTAGGGAACATGTATAAGTGCACATGGGGTTTGATTCTACCCCTCTGGGACCACAGGCCCCTGGTGGGTCCTCGCTGGTGACTCTGTCACTGAATTCTGTGCTGCACATCACAGTCCGCTGTCAAGGGCAACTGTGGGTATGGATCGACTGGAGAGCAGCACATTTGGGACAAGGCAGATTTTTTTTTCAAGTTTCATTGATCTTTTTTTAATTTTTGCTCTTTCATCTATCCATTGTTTAGAGAGCGGATGGCATTAATGATTTCTAGATGGTTGTTTAGGATTTGGGACAGCTTGGAGCAGGCCTGGGTTCCAGCTCTAGATCTCTGCTTAGCTTGGGGGCTCTGGGTAGGCTATTCTAACCCTTGGAATCCAAAGGTTTTGCAACCCACGTTCTTCACAGGCACACGCAGAAGCTTATGTGACTTTGTTATTGTCAGTGTCCATGTGAGTGTGGGGCTCACTGGATGGGATGCAGTGGGTGCACATGGTGGACACTCTGTAAAGCTCCTTGTTGTTGTAGCTATTGTTATTACTGTACAGTTCTGGCCCTCCCTCCCTCCCTCCCTTCTTCCTTTGTATGTGCTGGTCCAAGAGCTTAAATTTAGGACCTAGACAATGTCCTTAAGCCTTTTTTTTTGTCCAAAGTAGGTGCTCTACCACTTGCACCACAGATCTACTTCTGGTTTTTTGGTAGTTAATGGGAACTAGGAGTCTCACAGACGTACCTGCCTGAGCAAACTTTGAACCATGATCTTAAATCTCAGCCTCCTGAGTAGCTGCAATTACAAGTATGAGCCACCAGTGCCCAGCGCATATATTAATTTCAAGAATGAATTCTGAGAAATGTGATTTTTTTTTTTAGAAATGTCTGATCTGCCTGTTTGGATGATCATAAAACTAAAAAAACCAAAGAAGGGTATAATTAGGTTCTGCTAAGTAGAAAAACCCAACAAAGTATTGGAAGGTAGCCATACCTCCTGCTAAGTAAGCTGCATGGTACAGTTTTCCAGGTTTGGAAATATTGTGGAAACACGATCCTGTGCTTTCCACAGTGTGGTGCTGTGTGCAGGTCAGTCTTGTGTGAGCTTGGCCTGGAGACCCAGTGCTGGAGGTGCTAATCTGACCAACCCTGTGAAGACATGCCCAAATCACGGCTCCTCTTGGCCTATAGACACGAAGACCCCAGGAGAGCTGATGAAATGGGAATTCTTTTTTTTTTTTTTTGTATTTTTTAAATTATTTTTCTTTTTTTTTTTTAACAGAATTTTTTTTTTTCTGTTGGTCGTGGGGCCTGAACTCTGGGCCTGGTCACTGTCTCTCAGCTCTTCAGCTCAAGGCTAGCGCTCTACCACTTGAGCCACAGCGCCACTCCCGGCCTTTTCTGCTTCTGTGGTGCTGAGAACCATGCATATAAGGCAAGCACTGTACCACTGAAAGACCTTCCCAGCCCACGGAATTTTTTTTTTTTTTTTTTTTGGGTCCAGTAGTGGGGCCTGAACTCTGGGCCTGGGTGCTGTCCCTCAGCTCTTCAGCTCAAGGCTAGCGCTCTACCATTTGAGCCATAGTGCCACTTCCAGCTTTTTTTCTTTTTTGCTTATGTGGTGCTGGGGAATCGAACCCAGGGCCTCAGGCATGCAAGGCAAGCACTCTACCTCTGAGAGACCTTCCCAGCCCATGGAATTTTTTTATTAAGTGGTTGTACTTGTAATTCCATAAGTCAGGTTATGAGTACAATACTTCTTGGCCAGTGGCACCCTTTCTGTAATCTTCCCCCATTTCCCCCTCCCATCCCTACCCTTAGATTACATAGTTCAACTTTTATATAATGTACATTGAATATAATGACTGCATTTGCTCCCCCTCTCTCCATTCCCATCTCTTCCCACCCCCATGGCCGTCTCCCTCCAAAACATGTTTCCACTTCCTGGTTTTGATTTTGTTAACCAGTTCATTCATTAGTTGTTCGGAGGAGTTATACCTTTGGACTCCTCCCCCAAGTATACCATCCTTTAGTCAGTTTGTGTGTACACACAAAAACCTTGTATATGTTATCGCTAGCTTCCACATATGAGAGAAAACATGTGTGTCACTTAACATAATTTTTTTTCTAGCTGGGCACCTGTGGCTCATGCCTGTAATCCTAGCTACTCAGGAGGCTGAGATCTGAGGATTACGATTCAAAGCCAGACCAGGCAGGAAAGTCCATGAGACTCTTATCTCCAATAAACGACTAGAAAACAGGAAGTGGCGCTGTGGCTCAAGTGGTAGAGCGCTGGCCTTGAGCTGAAGAGTGCAGGGACAGCGCCCAGGCCCAGAGTTCAAGTCCCACGACCGACAAAAAATAAAAAAAAAAATTCCAGGTCTATGAAATGGGAATTTTTAAAAGTTCTAGAGCTATTGTGGATATATTTTTCTTTTAAAATTGTTACGATAAAGGTGCTGTACAGAAGGAGTTACAATTACTTAGGTCAGTTAAAGAGTGGACAGTGTCACCCTCCTCCCTTGCTCTTGTGAATTTTTTTTTTTCAGTTGTGAGGCTTGAACTCAGGGCCTGGGCACTGTTCCTGGGCCTCTTTGTGCTCAAGGCTAGCGCTCTTATCACTTGAGTCACTGCACCACTTCCTGTTTTTTGAGTGGAGATCAGAATCTTACAGGGACTTCTGACTTCAAAGTGCAATCCTCAGATCTCAGCCTCCTGAGTAGCTAGGATTACAGGTGTGAGCTGCTGGCCCCTAGCTTGTGAATATATTTTAAAATATAGAAATACTCAAAATCAATAGTGTTTTTTGTTTGTTTTGCCAGTCCTGGGGCTTGAACTTAGGGCCTGGGCACTGTCCTTGAACTTCTTTTGCTCAAGGCTAGCACTCTACCACTTGAGCCACAGCACCATTTTGGGCTTTTTCTGTTTATGTGGTACTGAGGAATCAAACCCAGGGCTTCATGCATGCTTGGCAAGCACTCTACCACTAAGCCACATTTCTAGCCCCCCCAATAGTGTTTCTTAAAATTGGAAAATAATAATTTTAATATTTATAAATTGGAGCACAGGCACATGTCTGTGTTAATGGAGAAAGGTTAGGTGAAGGGAAAGTGGTATGCTGCAGTTAGCAAGAATTTCAGTTTACCAACTGTGAACTTCACCTCAGGGAAATTCCCTGATTCTGAGGAGCTGGAGTGAAGGGATTGCTTTTCTCATGGTAGACTTTCAGAAGTGCTTTTATGTCCTCTCCCTTGCCCCTTCCCCCATGCCTCATAATTGGTGTTTGTGGAGTGAAATAGAACACTTGCCAGCCTCAAAGACTAATCAGGGACAAGCCTCAGCATAACATGAGAGATGTATCCAGAAGGCTAAATTGCCATCCCAGGATAAGGCTGAAGACAAGAAAGGAGAGAAAGTAGGAAAGGAAGGAAAAGAAGGCAGGCAGGCAGACAGGCAGGCAGAAAGGGACAGGGAGAGACAAAAGGGAGGAAAAGGGAGTCCTTTTTAAAAAAATTTGTGTGTGTGTGCACATGTATGTATATGTGGATATATGTATGTGTGTTCTGGGAGTTGAACTCTGGGCCTTACATTCTCTATTGATTTTTTTTTTCCCCCCATGGCTGGCCACCACTTGAGCCACAGCTGTACTTCTAGCTTTTTGCTGGTTACTTGGAAATAATAGTCTCACAGTTTTGTCTTCTCCAACTGGCTTTGAACCTTATTCCTCATATCTTAGCCTCCTGAGTAGCTAGGATTACACATGTGAGCCATCAGGGCCTTGTTCCCTTTTTATTATTATTATTATTTTTTTGGTCCAGTCGTCGGGCCTGTACTCTGGGCATGGGCGCTATCCCTCAGCTCTTCAGCTCAAGGCTAGTGGTCTACCACTTGAGCCACAGCACCACTTCCGGCTTTTTTCTTTTTGCTTATGTGGTGCTGAGGAATCGAACCCAGGGCCTCAGTCATACAAGGCAAGCGCTCTACCACTGAGTCACCTTCCCAGCCCTTTTTTTTTTTTTTTGGTGCCAGTCCTGGGCTTAAACTCTGGACCTGGGCTATCACTGAGCTCCTTTTTTTCTTTTTCTTTTGTCAAGGCAAGTGTGCTACCACTTGAGCCACAGTTCTATTTCTGGCTTTTTCAGTGATTAATTGGAGATGAGACTCAGGGCTTTCCTGCCCTGGCTAGCTTCTAATTGAGACCCTTAGATCTCAGCCTCCTGAATAACAAGGATTGTGTGTGTGTGTGTGTCTGTGTGTATCTGTGTGTGTCTGTGTGTCTGTGTGTCTCTGAGTGTGTGACTCTTAGTATATTTTCAAGGTTGTATAACTATTACCACTATCTAATTCCAGAATATTTTATTCACCTGTTAAAGAAACCCAGTGCATACTAACTGTTACTCCTCATCCCACTCTCCCTCCTTAGCCCTTCCTAGTCAGCCCCTGGCAACTCTAGCTCCACTTTCTATCTCTGATTTTGCTTCTGCTAAACACTTCTAAAGGGTCATATAACATGTGGCTATTTTTTCATTGGTGTACAGTATACTTCATCTCATTTTTATGGCCATGTAATAGTCCATTATGTGTATGTAGTTATGCCACATTTTAGTTTGAAGGACTGTTTCTACTCTTTGGGCAGTTCTGAACACTTATGTACATGCTTTTTCTTTATTTTTAGTGTATATTAATTATATAAGATAATGGATCTTGTTATGTCATTTTCATAAACATACAAGTTTTTATGGGGACACATGTTTTCAATAATCTTGGGTATACATACAGCTAGGAGTAGAATTGCTGGGTCCTATGGCAATTCCATGTTTAACTTTTTGAAGAACTGCCAAACTTTAAGCAGGCTTTTGTATAAACACAGGATCATGTTTTTCATTTTATTTCAGGATAAGAACTTAAAAAAAAAAAAACTTTAAGAAAAGTCATAAGATCCTTACGAAAGGACATAAACTTCAAAGCAAGTCTTTTGGAGATAGTTCAAAACTAGAGGTGGCTTTAATACACTGGGTTAATTAGGAAGGTTTTTTTCCTGAGTGATTATCTGAGTGATTTCAGTCCCTAAGCTTCTTTTTTTTTAATTAAAAAAATTTTTTTTTTATGATCTGTTAGCTGCTGCTGCTGCTTTTTTTTTTTCCCCCCAGTCTTGAGGCTTTTTCTGAGTAGTTTATAGGACATAGAGTCTCACAGAATTTCCTGTCTGAGCTGGCTTTGAACCACTTTTTAGACATCAGCCTCCTGAGTAGCTAGGATTACTGGTGTGAGCCACCGGTGCCCAGCCCAAATTATTTTGGCAACTTTGTGTGAGTCTAAAATTATTTCCAGATAAAATTTTAAGTGAAAATAAAAGAAGCAAGCCGGGTGCCGGTAGATCATGCCTGTAATCCTAGCTACTCAGCTGGTTGAGACTGAGGATCAGAATTTGAAGCAAACTTGGGGAGACAAGTCTGAGAGACTCTTATCTCCAACTAACCAGCAAGATCCAGAAGTGGAAGTTTGGCTTAAGTTGTAGAGCATCAAGCCTTGAGCTGGTGGGGGGTGGGGGAGCTAAGGGAGAATGGGAGGCCCTGGGATCAGACTCAATACACACACACACACACACACACACACACACACACACACACACACACACACACACACACACACACACACACACACACACACACACACACACACACACACACACACACACACACACACACACACACACACACACACACACACACACACACACACACACACACTCAATCTCGAATCTCGAAAGTTCTCACTCGAGTTCTCTGTCTACTCTCTAGCAGTGCTTGCCATCCCTAAGGGGAAGGCTCCCTTTCAGGTGGATTGCTAGTTGCTATTGGTTAATAGTGGGAGAACCTGTACTTAAGAACTTGGGCATGGCAGAAATCTCAGTGCTTGGAATCAGGAAGGGTTTCTCTGTGGAGAAGCTTCTCTGTGTAGTTTGTTTTATCTTGTTCCCAGACCCTGAGCTGAAGTGTGGATTATGAGGACCATCTGCAGAGAGAAGAGCTGTCAGCCCGCAGGGATGTGTGCAGAGGAAGGCTGCTGGGGACAGATCTGGGCATGTAGGCTAGTGTGTCACCAGCTGTGTGGTGAGAAGGCCTTTTACCCTGCTGGGTGTGTGGCAGGGCACCAGGTGAAAGTCTCAAGTGTGTGAGACTTTGTAGACATCACAGACATACTGGAGAGTGCAGTGTGGCTGTGGAGGAGGAGGAAGGGAGGAGTGTGTCCAGATAAAGTGCATCATAGGTGGGAAGTGTGTCCAGACTTTGTCCTGGCAGGGCATGCTCCACACCTGCCATGCTGGGCCACTTCACTGTGTCCACACTGGGAGTTGGGAAGGAAGGCCCAGCTAACCTGTTCTATGAGTGCCAAAGCCCATCTAGGAGTTTGTGGCATTTCAAATCAAACATGTTAGTAATGGTGATAATAAAGCTTCATTCTAAGTGTGAATGATACTATTGGCTTTCTTAGACTTTTGTTTTGGAAAACTTACTTTTAACAGTTGTAGCCTTCCTGTTGTAAGGTGTGTGTGTGTGTGTGTGAGAGAGAGAGAGAGACAGACAGAGACAGAGACAGAGAGAGAGATCAATTTCTCAGAACAATGTCAAGAGATTCCTTACACTGGGTATCAGTGGCTCATGCTTGTAATCCTAGCTACTCAGGAGGCTGAGATCTGAAGATCATGGTTCAAAGCCAGCCTGGGCAGAAAAGTCCAACTTATCTCCAACTACCCACCAAAAAGCCAGAAGTGGATCTGTGGTATAAATGGTAGTCAGCCTTGAGCTAAAAGCTCAGGGACAGTGCCCGGGCCCTGAGTTCAAGCCCCAGAAGCAGCAGATGCAGCAAGAAATCCTGCACAGAGGCTGTAGAATTGGGAGACAATCTGCCTATGGAGAGGCCATGGGAGTTCTCCCCGAATCCTCCCCCTCCCCTCTGCTGCAGACATCCAAGAAGCAGGCCCTGTGGAGAGACCTGCCCTGTCTGTCTGACAGGAGCCAGAGACTCTGCAGCACTCCAGAAATTCATTCTGAAGGAAATCATGAACATTCCTTTGTTTGAGTCAGACTCAGATGGTTTTTAAAAATAGGCTCATACCAAGAGGGAACTCAGAGGGCATCAGTTTTGAGGTAGTAGGGCAATACAGGCAAAAACAAGTCAGGGGAAACAGGCTAGTAACCACCTCTTTGCCTATGCACAGTAATTACAATAATCCTGTGTCATCTGTATATGGAAACTGAGGCACAGGTTGTACAGCTGGTTGAGGGAGAAAGCTGGAACTTCAGCTAAGATCTTAACGTTATTGGATTCCTCTTCGTTTGGTTCATGAAGCAGGCCTTGTTTGTGTGGGAAAGGGATGTGGGATGGAGGACTGAGTCCTCTGTCCTATAGGAACAGCAGGCTTTAGTGTTTGCGATCGCTGGCAAAGGTGCAGGATTGGCTGCTCGGATTGTGCAGCAGTAAGGGCTCCATGGCTTCTGTACATCTACTACACACACAGAATCTACTTCAATTTCAGTGTGCGTGGACAGTTCTGTTCTGGGATACATAGTATATTTCCTGATGCACTCAGTAAGCTCAAGGCAGATTCAATTACCTGGTGGTATGAGTAGAAGCTTATAGTCAGTTCTAAGGTATTTGTCTTCAGTTCTGAAAGGATTGAGGAAACGTTATCTTGGCTTGGATTCCCCAAGTTATTGTCCTTGATTTGGCCCTCTCTGTAAGCCCTGGAGGTAAGGGAGCAAAGGCCACACAGCTGGACTTCGACTTATCCCCTTGCTTTATTATTCTGAATGAATCCTTCTTTCTTCATCTGTTGGTTGTCTTATTGTAGAGCCAAAACCTATTTTCCTTGTAGCTGATAGACAGATATAGCAGTGTTTTACTTTTCTCTATTTTTCCCCTCCCATTTTCATTTCTTTTATTGACAGTACTGGGGTTTGAACTCAAGGACACATGCTTGCTTACTTAGTAGATGCTCTACCACTTGAGACCCTCCCTCCCTCCCTCCCTCCCTTCCTCCTTTCCTCCTTTCCTCCCTCCCCCCTCCCCCCCCCTCTTCCACCATACTTTCAGGCTTTTTTATTTTTAAGATAGTCCTTCCTTCCTTTCCAGGCATGTGCCTGAACTATGATCTTCCTATTTTACGTTTTCCACTGTAGCCAACATATGCTTATTCCATTGAGGTAAGAGTCTTACTTTCTGCTCAGACTGGCCTCAAACCAAAGTCCTCCTGATCTCAGCTGCCTAAGCAGCTACGTTTATAGGCCTAAGCTACTGAGGCTCAGCTATGACTTTTGAATAAAGCTAAAGTTCAAAATCTGTGTTTTTGGTTTTATACGTATAATTTCTGATGATAATGAGTTCTATCTGGATGTTCCCAGATATACTTAAGAACAAAGTACTCCAGAAAATCAAATGGCTGGAAAAGAAAGAGAGACTGCCCTTTGGGATGCTTTACGTGACTGTCTTCATCACCTGTCCTCCCTTGACCTGTTCATCTTCCCTTTTTCCACCTGGCTCTTACCTTCCTTGTTAACTGTTCCCTGCTTTCTGTTTCACACATGTGCAGTTTCCCTCTGGGGCTGGAGAACCTAGGGCTTCACCCTCAGTGCCATATTATTCCCTTCTGGCACTCCAAGAAAAATCTTTCTTCTTGGCGGCACACAACCACTAAAACAAAGAGGTTGGTAGATCAGTTTTGAAAGAGTGAAAATCCACCCTTTCAGCTCCCAGCAAGTGTCTGTGGCTCCTAACATGTGTGGCATTCTGTTGGCACAGGTGACCAGACTACTTTCCAGCTCCAAGTGCGCCAGGTGGAAGACTACCCTGTGGATCTGTACTACCTGATGGACCTTTCCCTCTCTATGAAGGATGACTTGGACAGCATCCGCAACCTGGGCACCAAGCTTGCCGAGGAGATGAGGAAGCTCACGAGCAACTTCCGGTTGGGTTTTGGGTCCTTTGTTGACAAGGACATCTCTCCTTTTTCCTACACAGCACCGAGGTACCAGACGAATCCATGCATTGGGTAAGTGGCCTGTTGTCTTTCTGTTTAGTACCTAAGAGTAGAGAAATGGCATAGGAGGAAAACCTTAGTCCCAAGATTTGAGAGACAAGGAAACTAAGGCTTAGAGAGAATAAATGACTTGCCCATGATTACACTCAAACAGGAACTTATAGACTTGGGATATGATTCCAGGCAGACTAGTTTGGCAGTGTGCATTCTCTTGAATAGAATGCCTGTGTTTGGTCCCTTCTAAGAAACTCTACCCGAGGCTGAGTAATAGCATATGCTGCAAACCCTGCCAGGCCTGCCATCTAGGGGCTTACCTGGGCTGTACTAAGATGCAATTCTTGAATATCTGTGGGTCTTTGAAAAGTTTAGCTTGTGTAAAACCTGATCTGTTTTCTTTGGTGCGCTCCCTTATGCGATGACTCAAGGATCCAGGCTCCTTCCATCCCATTATGTCACTTGTAGTTCTTGGCCTTCTGCTGGCATTGAGGGGAGGGGAGCTGTTTTGAATCCTGTGAGCCATCCTCTCCCTGCAGCTCATCTTTGGCAGCCTCAATAGCTCTTAGCACCTCTTTGGGCTGCGTAGGGCTGGGTGATCAGCGAAGTGGGAATGTTTTGGCGGCCTGTGTTCTTCGGAATCCTTCCTGGGCTGTTGTCTACTCTCCTAGGTCTTTTCCATGGGTGGGAAACCAACATAGTGATGGAGTAATAGTAAGACAGAAAAAGGTTTTAAATATAAATGGCCTCAGCCTCCAAGAGGAACTAGGGATCATCATTTATTGTGGAGTATGGCTTCTTCCTGCCCACAAGTGTCATTGACATTATTATCACTCCGTCCTGTCTCGTAGGCCCTTATCAGTTGAGTCAGCCACATCCAGACCAGATGTCTACTTGGAGCTTGTTTTGTTTTTAGTTTTGATGGGACTGAGGGTTGGACTCAAGGCCTTGCTACTTGCTGGGCAGATACTCTACCATTGGAACCACATCCCCCAGCCCTGTTGTTGGAGTCTTATTACTTATCAAGAGCCTTGGCCTCCTAACCAAAACATTTTTCATTTGGTCTGCACTAATGATTGTATTCCTTCCCCGACTTCTTTCACTTATCGGGCTTTATCTCCAGACGGATGGGGTGTGTCTCCACTGAGATGCTGGTTGGAAGCTGGCAGAGGATCAAGGACTGGCTGTGGGCACTGCTCAGCATGTGAATACCCGAGGCTATTCCACAGTGCTTATTCAGAGCTGGCTCTCTGAAGCTCTCCAGGGCAGAACCAGTTGCAGACAGTGAGATTCTTGACAGTGAATACCAGGCATCCTGAAAAGCTGCTTGTAACACAGGAAATCGAGTAAAGAATGGGAGTTTTGAAGGAAGCATCAGGTCTAAGTTATGCAAATTTCTTTTCTCTAAGCTGAGAAGATACAAAGGGAGTCACTGTGTAGCTCAGTGAGCAGGCTCAGATTTCTTTGCCCACACAGCCCCGGTGTCCAGGCCATGCAGCATCCTGTGTCTCCTAAGAGTCCCTGCTGCTCCTTGAGGGGGAAAACAGTATTGACTGTGTAATGTGACTGTTCCCTTAGCAGGCCCAGTCTGTGCATATCCTTTCTGTTGTAATGGCATCATGACTTACCAACGTTTACAAAGACAAGATTTAACCAAGAATAACCAGAAGAATTTCTAGGGTTTCTTCAAAAGCTAGGATTTCTGGGGAAGTCCCCATAATTCCCCACCATTCCATCCCTCTTAGCCTGCAGCTGGTCCATTTTGCTTGTTTTTACCCCATGCTTGGGCTTTATAGACCTGTGATTGGATTTCTATCTGACTGTCACTTCTTTCCTATTAAGGTGGAGAAAACCAGAGTGAACCCTTCCCAAGCCCTAGGAACCCTTCAGTTAGGTGTTTCTCTCCCAGGGCTATGGGACCAGCAGTGGCAGCTACCAGGGCATTTGGGGGATGGGAAACTTAGGGAAAGTGACATTACCACTACAGGACATCTTAGAGGAAAGAGATGCACTGGGGCTTTCTTTAGACTTGTCTCTCCTTTCTCTGCTCCAGATGTTTCTTTATGGGATGGAAATTGTGTATTCATAACATCCATCTTAGCATGCACCAGAAGTGCCAAGTCTGAAGTACAAGGGCTGCCATGGGAATTAAAAAGGCATAGAGAAAAGCTCATACCTGTAATCCTAGCTACTCAAGAAGATTGAGATCTGAGGATTCTGGTTTTCAACATCGGCAGGAAAGTTTGTGACAATCTTATTTCTTAACCTAACCACCAAAACACTGGAAAGGAAGCCGTGGCTCAACTAGTAGAGTGACCAGTCTGGAGCAGAAAAGCTAAAGGATAACACCCAGGCCCCGAGTTCAAGCCCCAGTACCCATCTATCCCCTCAGCCCCCTAAAATAAGAAGGCATAGAGTAACTTCAGCATCAGATTAAGGAATTGTTTAATTGAAAGGGTGATTCCATTGCCTTCTGACTTCTTTGTGGCTGAAAGAAAGTCTGCTTTTGCTGGGTTCAAAGCTAGCTGGGGCAGAGAAATCCTAGAGACTCTTATCTCTAACCAGCAAAAAGTCAGAAGTAGGGGTGTGGCTCAAGTGGTATTGTGTCAGCCAAGTAAGAGTTCAAGCCTTGGGACTGGCATAAAAGCAGTTGCTGTGCTTCTCTCTAGAGGCTTTTGATATATTCTGTGATGTGGACTCCTTTATGTCTAGGTTGATAAACTTTTAAATATATTGTTCAAACTTGGTCAACTTGTTTCTTTTAAGAATATATCTTTTTTCTTGAAAATTCTGAGTTTATCTTGTTATTTTCTTTCTTCTATTCTTTCCATTTTCATCTGGACACTGTTAGGTGTCCGTGGAAGCTTCTCACTGTAAATGTCACATGTTAGTTTTTCTCTGATAGTTTTAAAAGCCTCTCTGTGTCTGTCTCTCAGAGACATAATAGGAAATGTTTCCCAGCTTGCCACTTCATTCCCCAGTTTTAGTGTAACCTATATATAGAAATTTCATTTCTTAACTTCAGTGACTGTATTTTTTATTTCTCTAATTTTTATTTGGTTCTTTTCTAGACTCCTCCTCCTCTTCCTCCTCTTCTTCTCCTTTTTATTTCTAGAGTTTGGTTTTGGTTTCCATTTTTGTTTGTTTTATTTTTCTAACATTCTGTCTGGCCTTTGGCTTCTGTTCCTTCTGGATGTTTTAAATACCCTTGTAAGAATTTTAGGCCACTCTGTTCTGTTTCCTTCAGGGTGTTGGGTTTGCTGACATTCCTGCATGGTGGTTTGTTTCTCCTGGGGTTTATAATGCTTTTATTAGCTCATCTTCATTGGAGGCTGTTTCCCATCTAACGCTCATGTGCCTTGGCATGCTGGCTTCCTGCAGAACAACTTTACCGTTTTCTGCTGCTGGGAATCTTCTATGTTCACTGTGGGACTCGTTTTCCTTTAACTCACAATTGGGGGTTCCTTCACCATAAAAGTTGTGAATTCTGATAGTCCAGGCCTGGTGGACGTATGATTCTTATTGTGCTCAGCCTGGACCGGTAGTAGGCTTCCTTGCCTCTTTCCCAGGCCATGGATGGAGAATTTCTGCTTCTGGTTTTGTGAGTGGCAGCTCTTTGAGTTCAGCTGTATGCAGAGAGTCCTGTTACAGTTCTGGGCCTTGTTCAGGTTGGAAGTTTATCATCTGTGCCTGATACACCCCTGTTGTACATGCTGTGTAATGTCCTGTCCCTGTCCCTGCACAGTGTGGACGCCTTGCCTGAGTTGCACACACAGCTCCCCCCGCCCACCCATGTGCTCCCCAGTCCATTCATTGTTGAGTGGCTTCCTCTCCAATTCTGGCATCTGGGATTTCCCTCCTAAGCTTCCAGGCCTGGCGTTCTATTTAAATTTTTAAATTATATTTCATGCAGAAGTTCTCTATGTTTAGGCTAAGATGAGAACCTGCTCACATAAGCTCGATCCAATTTTATCTTGAAAATTAAATTGTTTCAAGGATTTGCCTAGACTTAGTAATGTTCAAATTGGATTTGCTTTATACACACACACACACACACACACACACACTCGCTTGCCCAGCTCTTTAATCTCACACACACACACACACACACACACACACACACACACACACACACACACACACACTCGCTTGCCCAGCTCTTTAATCATACATTTTTTTTCTTCTTAGTTAATAATATTTAACTTAGCTATTCCTTATGAATGGCTCTTACCTGGGAGCCTATAGAAACACTGGGTGGGTTCTCTCCTGGCAGGAGACCCCAAAACAACCAGGTCTGAAGGCCACTCAGCAATTCCATGGGCTTGGCCGGGTACCTAGTCACAGGAGACATCCTATTCCAGTTAACATCTTTGTGACAGCTGTTTTTTCTTCTTAATAAGAACCATCCCTGATTTGCTTCCAGTAAATTTGGTGTAATTAAGATGCCTTTCTGGAAAACATAACCCTTTTCTCCCTTTTTTTGGGGGGCAGGGGGGAGGATATTGGCATTTGAACTCAGTCTTGTGCTTGGTAGGCTGGTGCTCTTCCATTTGAGCCATGCCTCTTTCCCTATTTTTTTTTGTCGGTCATGGGGCTTGAGCTCTGTTCCTGGGCGCTGTCCCTCAGCTCTTCAGCTCAAGGCTAGCGCTCTACCACTTGAGCCACAGCACCACTTCCAGTTTTCTGGTGATTTATTGGAGATAAGAGTCTCACAGACTTTTGTTCCCCTGGCTGGATTTGAACCATGATCCTCAGATCTCAGCTTCCTGAGTACCTAGGATTATAGGTGTGAGCCACCGATCCCCAGCCCGTTTTTTTTTTTTTTTTTTTTTTTTTGACAATTTTATTGTTACCATTAATGTGTTTTTTAGAGAGGTCACAATTTCACAAGTCAGGTAATGGATACAGTTGTGTGTTTTTGGATAATGTTATCCCTTTACTTTCCCCTAGTTTCCTCCTCCCATCTCTGCCCACTAGTTTTGTGAACTTTTCTACCCAGGTTGCCCCTCCAACCTCAGTCTCCCAAGTAGTGAACACACTTTAGAGATGCTGATCACTTAACAGCCATTCTCCAGTGTGAAAATCTATCTGTATTTCTGTTGTGGGAGTGAAAGGGAAGATAGGGAAAAAGGTTGAGCTATAGCCATACTTCTTCCAGCTTTCCTGATTTTTTCAATTAATTGTAATTATTCAGTCTCTCTCCCTGCTCCCTTTCTGTAATCAATCTGACCAGCTGTGACAATATTATCACTCTTGAAGTCCTAAATCATGATGTCTAACAACCCAGAAAGGAGTAGGAACTTGGTAGAAGATAGGCTGTGTGTGTGTGTGTGTGTGTGTGTGTGTGTGTGTGTGTGTGTGCGCGTGTGTGTGTGTGTGTGTGTGTGTGTGTGTGTGTGTGTGTGTGTGTGTGTATTTTCTCTCTGGCCCTGTCTATATGTCAGCTAGCTGTGGATGGAGCCTCAGCCTGTTCTTTCAGAGAGAATGTAATTTCTACCACTGTGCCCTTTATGACACAATGAGGAGGTCATGAAATGCCTGGCTGGCCTGAGTTACGCATTCAGAAAGAATCTGCTGTTTCCAAGCATAGGGTATTTGTGAATCTGTGGAGAAGTGAGACATAGAGGAGAGGCAGACAGGTAAGGCGTAGTTGCTGTTGCCTGTCTACTGGGAAGAGGTGGTGGCTTGTTGTGAAGGCTCTGGTGTGGTATTGTGACTGTAGTGAATGGGGCTGGGATTGGCAAAGATTGGCTTTTCACAGAGGAAGGGAGCCTGCCCAAACCTGCCCTGGCTGGGCTAGTTGGGGCAGCAGTGAAGGTGGCTTCTCTAGCAGTTGCTAAGCCTGTTGCTTTTCCCAGGCACAGGCAGATTACAAAGGCTTTCCTTCTCCAGGGCTTCTCTGATGGCTCTTACTTCTTATTACATCCTTTATAGGGATGAAAACCCTGTCTCTCTGGGCCAGGTTCCTGCCACTCTTCCTCTTGCCTGTCCTCATCCCTTGTCCTCTGTCTGCAGACCCACCAGCCCTGCTTAATCTCCTGCGACAGGCTCTCATGTGCTCTTCTCTGGCTGCCATATTCTTCTTTCTCCTCCTATCCCTTCTGCACCCATCTATAAATAAGTGAGACAAAATAGAAAATAGAGATAACCAATGAAACTTGACTCTTTGTAAAGATCAACCAAACAATAAGCTTTCTTCTAACAAAGCCTTTCTGCCTATTTCATAGCTATTGAGCAAGCTGAAGCTCCTAGAACTGTTGTTAGGAACTAACTTCCTCCAGGAATAGAGCCTCCTGGGGTCTCCACAGAAGACTAAAAAGAGGAACTTGTTTAATATTATAGGAAAAAGGCCTGAAAGTAATCTACTGTTGACATGTAGTACTTCCTTCTTTCCAAGTTTCAGATACCATTTCCTATTTACTGATGCTTAGTTACTAAATGATATCTATGGCATGTAAAAGAATGAATAGTTTAACTGTCTTCTGGTGGCTCATGCCTGTAATCTCAGCTACTTAGTTGAGATCTGAGGATCGTGGCTCAAAGCCAGCCGAGGCAGGAAAGTCTGTGAGATTTTCTTTTTTTTTTTTTGTCCAGTCCTGGGACCTGAACTCTGGGCCTGGGCGCTGTCCCTCAGCTCTTCAGCTCAAGGTTAGCGCTCTACCACTTGAGTCCCAGCACCACTTTGGGCTTTTTTCTTTTTGCTTATGTGGTGCTGAGGAATTGAACCCAGGGCCTCAGGCATGCAAGGCAAGTGCTCTACCACTGAGCCACCTTCCCAGCCCAGTCTGTGAGATTTTTATTTTCAGTTAACCAGGCAAAAGCTACAAGTGGTGCTCAAGTGGTAGAGCACCAGCCTTGAGCAAAATAGCTAAGGGACAGCGCTCAGACCCTGAGTTCAAACCCTAGTACTGCCACAGACACATTAAAAGGGGCAGTTAATCTGTATAAACTAGTGAAGCAGAATGAATATTTTCATTCTGGTTCATGTGCTGCCATGTCTTGTTGGTGAGCATAAGAAACATAAAAAAGGTTGTGGGATCATTTGTCATGTAGCAGCACAGTTAATAGGAGAGGCTCAATTCCTAGAGCAAGTCTGCTCACATTGCCCGCCATAGACATTGCCAACTTCTCCATACCATTGGTCTCACTAATCTTTCAAAGCTGTCACCAGGTCTTCCTCTATCCAGAGGAGTCTATTATAATGCCTACTTCCTTATACCCATTTATCCACACCAGGCATTTCTGTGATATATGCAATGTGCTCACCATTAGGATTGGAGGTTAGTGTTTAGGTTATTTATCTTTATACCCTCTGCTTTATCTGTCCCAGGGCAGGTGGTAAATTCTGGATGCTGGGTAAATTCTGGTGCCCCCCACAACACTCATACTCCCCCGGATACTTGCATAAGGATGTAGAGACAAGCTGGGCATCAGTGGCTCACGCCTATAATCCTAGCTATTCAGAAGGCTGAGATCAAAGGATTGTGATTCAAAGCCAGCCTGGACAGGAAAGTCCGTGAGACTCCTATCTCCAATTAACCACCAAAAAGCTAGAAGTGGAGCTGTAACTCAAGTGGTAGAGTGCTAGTCTTGAGCAAAAAACAAAAACAAAAAACACCTCAGGAACAGTGTCTAGTCCCTGAGTTCTGGGCCTGGTCCTAGGGGACCAGCAAAAAGTAAAAAAAATACAATAAAGGATCTAGAGATAGTATTGGAAAGTGACTCTCTTCTTCTTTCTTGCTAGTTACAAGTTATTTCCAAACTGCGTCCCATCCTTTGGGTTCCGCCATCTGCTACCTCTCACAGACAGAGTGGACAGCTTCAATGAGGAAGTTCGGAAACAGAGGGTGTCCAGGAACCGCGATGCCCCCGAGGGGGGCTTTGATGCAATCCTCCAGGCTGCTGTCTGCAAGGTAACTGTTCTTCCTGGTCCTGGGTCTTTACAGGAGGCCAAGGTAGAGAGTCTCAGTGTGGGTGTGGCATTTCCTGTAGGAGGTGACAGATGATGAGCTACCTCAGCATGTGGCATGGTCCACTCTGGCATCCAAGTGTAAGCTTTGTGGCCACCTGGGGAGATGTCCAGCTTTCAGGTCAGCTGGAACTTAGGCTTGGCTTGAGCAGGCATGTGCCCTCTGTGTCAGGATGAGGTTGTTCAGGGGACACTTGTCTTTGCCAGAGATTGGCTGTTCTATGGTTACACACTTGACTTTTTGCTTTTTTTTTTTTCTTTTCAGGAGAAAAGAAGTGCAAAAGTCAAGCCATAGACATAGAATCACATAGAATTTTCTGTCCTAATTTTGTTAGACTTTCAATATTGTCCTATTGGGGATCCCAGGTGAAAAAATGGAATTGTGTGACCCCTCTGATTTGTTTTCTTCTGTTTCTTTGTAACACATAAATCCGGAGGAAATGAACTCATACTTTTTAAAGAAAAGGTTCTGATTAGAGAAATATATAAATGGAATATTGCTATTGACTTACCCTTAAAATAATTTTCTCTGGGTGCTAGTGGTTTGTGCCTGTAATCCTAGCTATTCAGGAGGCTGAGATATGAGAATTGTGGTTCAAAGCCAGCCCAGCAGAAAAGTTCATGAGACTCCTACTTCTAATTTAGCCACCAAAAAGCTAGAAGTGGAGCTGTGACTTAAGTGGTAGAGTACCAGCCTTGAGTGAAAAGAAAGCTTGGGGAAAGCACTCAGGCCCTGAATTCAAGTCCCAGGACTGATCTGTATACACACACACACACATACACACTACTGTCAAAACAAAGCAATTGACAACAAAACATAAAAATAACCATTCAAGTTCCTTATAGCAACACATATTTTGCAGTTTTGCAATCTTTCTAGTGCATATACTTAGCATTTTTCCACAGGCTCATCATGTTTTATGTATAAATGGTAATGCTTTCTTGAAAATCCAGGCAAGTTCAGTGAGGTGGTTAGAAATGCTTCTGTTTGGGGAGGTCAGGAAAGAGGTGAGAACCTATTGCAGAGGTTGCACATGGTGGCTGCTACAAAAATGCTCAGTGAACAGCTCTGAATTGTATGCACTACCATAGTTTCTGAGCTCAGCAAGTTTGTGTTCAGTGCATTATACATGCATCCTAGATATGGATGAGGAGGGAGCTACAATGTCCTTTCTGAAATAAGAAACCCCACGTGGTAGTCAGAGATGGGGAAGGGAAAGGAAAAGCCAGAGGAAGCAGCATATGCCCTTGCGGTCCTCTGACGTCCCTCCATCCTGCCATACTGAGTCTTGTTCCTCCTGGAGTGGGAATCCCAGTGGCTCTCCATCCAGGGTGGCTGCTGGCCAGAAACACATGGTTTGCTTCACATGTTTGTGTTTTTTTTTAGCAGTCTGAATGCCAGATGGAACACAGCTAGAATGTGTTTATCTCTGAGCTTCTTAACTGTGTCACAAAATAGCTTACAGATGTATTCCAGAAAGAATATTTGATTCTATTTTTGCCAGTCCTGAGACTCGAACTCTGGGCCTGGGCACTGTCCATGAACTTCTTTTGCTCAAGGCTAGCACTCTACCACTTGAGGCACAGAGCACCTCCTGCCTTTTCTGAGTGGTTTAGATGAAAGCTTCACAGACTTTTTCTGCCTAGGCTGGTTTTGAACCACTATCCTCAGATCTCATCCTTTTGAGTGGCTAGGATTACAGGCATGAGCCACTGACATCTGGCATCTTAGATATTTTTACTGGCATTTAGATCCTAGGAGGTGATGTCTTCACAGACATCTAGCCAATATCTACATGTTAGCCTGGCAGAAAATAGTTCAGAAAATATAAGATTCCTCTCATCTACATGGAGAATTTTACATATTTTTCTTCTTTGGGGGGAGGAAGCCATCTTTAAATAAAGGCTTCTTGGTACGGGGAAGCCTAAGCAAGTCCTACTACATTACTTCTACTAGATTAATTGGAGCAACTTGATTGCTTGGGCTATAGTGATCTAGTGGACTGATGGGTCTACTCTCATGCCTGAAAAATCTCCCTATACTATCTCAGATGGATGGAGTATCCTACCCTTTGAAATTGTATATTTCAGGGGATTTTAACGGATTTCTCCAACTCATTGCCAGGACCTGGTAAATTATTGTTGACTGAGAAACATTTTATGAGTGTATGGATTTCAGATTTATACGATTTGAAGTTTCTACTGAGGTCTTTGTCACCAGGAATGCATGGAAAGTTAATATGGCTTTGAATCATGCGGTCTGCTAGCTACCAGCTTCATTTTTCTCCTTTCCTTTTCCTTTGTGCTACTACACACTATATTTACATAGGAATCATTTCTAAGTCACTTGAAACCATTTGTTTGTAATAAATGTCATCTTTCCTGGTCCACACAAGCCTTAATTATGCTAGCAAAAAATTGGGAATTTGTCAGGGACTACCTTTTTGTAACAGACTGGGACAACCATGCCATTAAAGCTAATGACTTGAATAATAACTTGAGACAAATTAAGGCAGGAATGTGGAAAGCAAGTTTATAAAACAGTATGGACAGGATGATCCTGTTTAGCAAATAAAAGAAAGAAAAAACTATGGAACATATTTAAAGCAGGGAGCCTGTGGCTCACACCTGTAATCCTACCTACTGTGGAGACTGGGATCTGAGGCTCAAGCCCAGACAAGAAAGTCTATTAGACTCTAATCTTTGATTAATTACCAAAAAGTAGGAAGTGGGGATGTGGCTGAAGTGGTATAATGCCAACTTTGAGATAAAACCTATATAAAAACACAAGGCCCTGAGTTCAAGCCCCAGCACTAGACTAAAACAGTTTTCTTAGGAGATAGAATTATAAGTTAGTTAAATCTTTTTAATTTGGCTACATTTCCATTATGAACATTATGGTTTTTTAAATTATGAAGCATTTAATAAAGTGGGAAGAATAGTGAAATTAAACCTAGTGTTCATCCTTAATGATTACCACTCAAATGTCATTTGCACTGAAGCATTACTTACTTTGTTTAATGAGTTTCCTGCCTACCCCTGACTGCCCAGATTACAGGCCCTCCACCTTAGTGGTGCAAACTGGTGTATCGGGGGGAAAGGGCTTCAATCTCCAGCACTGGCTGGGTATTTCCTAAGGCTGGAGTTGCTTAGACAGTGCCTGCCACAGTGCTGCCTGCTCTGCTTCCTCTGGCCCTGGCCCCTTGGAGATGGAGCTGAGCTCACAGTGCCACGAGGAGCCGTTTGAACTGATTTTGTTCTCACTCTACTTCCCCTGGGTTGAACTATATGTTATTTATTTGTGTGACTTCTCAATATGAAACCAGCCATTCACGTGACTGACTTAACTCCTGTCTCTCTAGCCTGCTCTGTGTTTCTTGGAAAGCTGTTCTTTGCAAGACGGAATCTACCTGTTTCTATTTAGGATTTTATTTTGTATAAATAAAATGAGTGGCGGTTTTGAGTTGCTTTATTTCCCCCCAGCTGTCCTCATTGCTGTGAGAAAGCAGTTTGGCAGCATCTGTAGCTAAAGGAGACATTCTCACCCAGGCAGGTATTTTTGGTGGTGCCCTATTCCCAGCAAGTTTGGAGATGAATGCCATTACCCCTCATGTCTTACCTTTACCCAGAAGCCCATGGTTGAGCCTTGTTTATACTTTGTCTTGGTCAGAATAATGGCTTTTCCCATTCCTAGTTTTATCGTTCCCATAGGACTTTTAGAAGTTGACTCTCAGTTGTTTGTTCTGAGATTGCACAGGTGAGGTGTGATATATACTACTGGCTGGAACTCAGGCTGCTTTTCTAGTCTTTCAAGGAAGTACCTTGGGCCTACAGAGGACTAGGGGTGGGGGGGTGGTAGGGGGAGGAGCCAAGGGACTTTGGGTTCCAAGCTGCCAGTCACCACCTAGCTGTTGTCATGAGTTTGAGGTTAGGAACATAAAATCTCTACGGGCTGCTTTTTCCCATCAGATCTGTGCAGCCCAGCACATTGCTTGGCTTGCCCAGCCTCTAACACACCAGCATGTAGCCCTCATAGTCTTTAGACATTCTTTCCATTTTAACATTTTAGTTTTGATTCTCCAACTTCGCATTGAGCGTTAAGTTTCTGCATCATTTCTGCCCTCTCAGAAATAGATGAACAAATCTTAAAGCAAATGAAGTTGCTTTGCTTGAATGAAAACATTTTTTTTTTTTTTAATGTGGATGGAGTCCTGTATTCCTTTGCTGGTAAGAAGATCCTAGTCTAAAATAGAGACCACATCTCCTGAGGCTGATGGGACCACTCTGTGCAGGAAAACAAGTTATGTGGGCCTCATGAAATTAAAGTAATTGCTCTGCTCACTTGACTCAGTCTGGTTCACTCGAAAGCCCATTCTCTTTCTGGTCCCAGGGACCAGGTACATTGGGAAGTAGCAGTGGTACAGTGTAGAGCAAGGGCACTGGGTTTAGAGTCCTTTTGTCCTGCCTTGAGCTCCAATTCTGCTGCTGCCTACCAGCTCTGTGGATGCTGGTGGGCTGCTTTCCCACCTACACATGCTCATTGGGAAAAGGCAGAGGGTGGAGCTGGAGGCAAGGGTGATCCCTGGGTGCCCTTCACCCATGCTGATTAACACTGCTTTCTACAAAGGACTTAAATTATAGCAACTTGACCCTTTCCATGCATGCGTGCATAAGCTACTACTTGGGCTTCAACTTGGGGCTTAGGCACTGTCCCTTAGCTTTTGAACTCAAGGCTGGCACTCTACCATTTGAACCACGTAGCTCTTTTTCTGGCTTTTTGATGGTTTTAATTGGAGCTAAGTTTTAAGAGACTTTTCTGCACAGCTTGGCTTCCAACCTTGATCCTCACATCTCAGCTACCGCTGCTCAGTGATCATCCTTTTCTGCCCTCCTAACAGTAAGGCCCAGCTGGCTGTGAAGGGTTTCCTTTCTGTACCCTGATGC